TTCATTTGAATAGCTTGGCTCTTGCCAAGATGATTCATGACCTCCAAATCAACAAATTCAGGAATTTTTTTCCTATTTTCATTCTCCTTGATTTTCCTGTGGCATCTAAAATTATGAAACAGTGTGTGTGTATATATATACTTATTTATTTTTTGGTGAGGCAATTGGGGTTAAGTGACTTGCCCAGGATCACACAGAGAGTAATTGTCAAGTGTCTGGTCTGAGGTTGGATTTGAACTCAGGTCCTACTGACACTAGGCCCCCTGCTCAATCCATTGTGCCACCTAGCTGCCCAACAGTCTCTGTTTTTGAAAATCTTTTCTTCCATTGGCTTCTATAACTTGGCACTCATCACTATTTTCTTTCTACTTTTCTAATTATTCTTTTTCTTTTAGTTGGTTCTTCTTTTTCTTCTTGTCCCTTAAATGTGCAGAATTCCCAAAGATTCTACCATTGCCCTTTTCTAATCTCTCTGAACTTTTCCTTGATGGTCACATGTCCTCTCCTGGCTTTAATATATCAACCTCCATTGGAAACATTCAAATTTATAACCCTGTCTCCAAGTTCTATCTACATTTCCAAGTGCTTTCACATATCTTACTCTTCTTTTTAAAAATCATACTTATTTGTACACTTTACCTGCCTCCCATTAGACTTGAAGATTTTTTGAGAGTATTGCTTGCGTTTGATCTCCTTTCTTTTTCATTTTCAATTTTATTTATTTGTTTATAGTTTTCAACATTCACTTCCATAAGATTTTGAGTTCTAAATTTTCTCCCTCTCTCTCTGTTCTCCCGTCCCCAAGACAGTGTGCAATCTGTATAGGCTATGCATGTACAATCATATTAAACCTACTTCCACATTAGTCATGTTGTAAAGAAGAATTAGAACAAATGGGAGGAACCATGAGAAGGAAGAAACAAAAAAGAGAGAGAGAGAGAGCAAATAGTATGCCTTGATCTACATTCAGACTCCATAGTTCTTTCTCTGGATGTGGATAGCATTTTCCAACATGAGGCTTTCGGAATTGTCTAAGCTCTTCGTATTGCTGAGACAAGTTAAGTCAATCAAAGTTGGTCATTGAACAGTGTTGCTTTTAGTATGTACAATATTCTCCTGGTTCTGCTTACTTCACTCAGCATCTGTTCATGTAAGTCTTTTCAGGTTTTTTTCTGAAGTCCACCTGCTCATCATTTCTTATAAAATAATAGTATTCCATTACATTCATAAACCACAACTTGTGTAACCATTCTTCAATTGATGGGCATCCCTGCAATTTCCAATTCTTTTGTAACCATAAAAGAGCTGCTACAAATATTTTTGTACATGTACATTTTTATGCTGTTGTTGGGATACAGACCTAGAAGTGGTATTTATGGGCCAAAAGGTATGTGCAGTTTTATAGCTCTTTAGGCATAGTTCCAAATTACTCTCCAGAATAGTTGGTTGACCTCCTTTCTATCCTACGAGCCTAACACAATGTCCTACATATGGTAGGCACCAAATAGTTTTTTGGTGAGTTGAATTAAATTGATAAAAAATAAGTTTTAGGAAAATGAATCTGACAGTGGTGTGCAGGATGGATAGAAAAGTTCTGTTCCTCATCTGAAGAATAAGAGGATTAGATGAGGCGGCATCTGAGGTCCCTTTCATGGAAGGAGATACTCTGCTAGCCTTGAACCACTGTACCAATGCAAGTTTTTAGTTTAAAAATATAGAGAAGCTACCCTGAGGATTTATTGCTACAAGAGCTACAAATTTCAGAGAAGGAAATGTAGGGAGGAGCAGTTCTTACAGGTTTCCAACTAGATGGAGACATACTTTTTAAGCTGTTCAGCATGATCTAGTAGAATAAATAATTTAATAATTTTTTTCTTGTTTGTTGACCAACTATTCTTTTACTTAGGAAAATGGGTTGAAAATACAATAGAAGGGGATATAAGCAAACCATTCTGCCTACACAGAGATTGAAACTCTATAAGAGACTAAATGGGGGCCTGACCCTTAATAATTAAATAAAATGTATTTAAGTCAGAAACCAGCAAAACTCTTGGTTAACATCCATATGGACAGTATGTAGCAGAACCCTACTTTCCAAGTCTCCTAGATAAAAAGAAACTCAGAAATATGGAAATCAAACTCTTTCCCTCTTGCTTTTATAGAACTACTCTTTTTTTTTCCCAGTGAGGCAATCAGGTTAAGTGACTTGCCTAAGGTCACACAGCTAGTATGTGTCAAGTGTTTGGTCTGAGGCCAGATTTGAACTCAGTTCCTCCTGACTTCAGGGCCAGTGCTCTATCCACTGTGCCATCTAGCTGCCCCTAGAACTCCTCTTAATGCATATTTTCTAACTATGTGTTTTTACACCAGGCTAAACTTTATCAACATTGTTCTAAGAGTTAATGAGTAAGGAAATAATCGAAGAGGATAAACTCTAATGATAATACTGTATTAACACGAAACACTATTGTATTTTATGATCTCCGTGAAATGTAAGTAGTGAATATGAAAGGACCTTCACTGCCTAGGCAAAGGGTGCATTCAGATGAAAATCTGAGGTTTCATTTAGGTCCATTTTGTAAGGGTAGGGTGGGGAAGGGAGGAGAATGAACACTTAAGTACCTATGTGCCAGGCACTGTTAAGCACTTTATAAATATTATCTTGCTTAATCCACACAATAGTGCTACTAATATCTTCATTTTAAATTTGAAGAGAATGAGGTAGACAGAGGCTAAGTGTCTTGCCTGGGTTCACAGAGCTAGGATGTGTATGGGGTGTTCAAAAGGATTAGCTTCTTTGATGTGAGAGCTTGTTGGGGCTGTTCATCCATCTTTGGTGTTCACCTGATTCACCCAACTCTCATCTGTGGGCTCCAAAAAGCTACAGCACGCAGAGAGGCCACTCCCCAGTAAACCGTTTGAGCAGATGGGCTAAACCAGATTGGGATAGGCCTCAAAACCCATTGGTGAGTTAGGGGAATGTCTACTCCAAGCATGTGAAGACTCCCTGCAGCAGAATGGGTAGATGAGAACAATTTTTTCCAATGACCATGAAGGCAGCTGAAGCAGGCACAGTGGAGTGTGTAGAGACATCAATAACACCAAGGTCATCCAATTGCATGCAAGGCCACAGCCAGTTATCTTGACTTTTTTCTTGCTACTGGACTTTTGATGACTGAAAGAGTGAGGCTGATGACTTTGTGCATCTCTGACTCATTTAAATTCAATTTATGCACAAGTCAAGATATCACCTGTGATGTCATTGGTCCTCTTTGAAAATGAAGGACAAACAGCAAATGCCTCACCCTAGATTTGAACTCAGGTTTTCATGACTCTAGTCCCCATATTCTATCTACTGTGTCAGCTAGCTACCACAGGCACGCTGTCACCTTGAACGTGACTTAACTAATCTGTGCCTAATTCTGATTACTTGCAGAATCAATTAATGATACCCTCCATCCTACCTCTCTCCTTTAGCTGAGAGAAAGTTTAGCATACTTAATTATGTTTGGAAGCTGCTGGTATAAAATTTCCGTTGTGGTATGATGCAGAATAATAGCTCAAATCTTAGAGGACCTAGATTCAAATGTCACTTATTACCTGGGGGAAATCATCTCACTTGGCCTCACCTCTTTATTTCTGAAATGAAGGGGATTAGAATAGATGGCCTCTGAGAGGCCCCATCTAGCTTTAAGACTATATAGACTCAAAACTATATAGACTCAAGCCTCTATATATCCTCTGGCATTGGATTAAGAAAGTTTAGCTTACTTGCATATTTGATTAAATATATTTTGAACATATTGGAGTAGTTTCCAGTGTGGTACAATAGGAGGCACTGGCCTGGGAGGGAAGCTGGCAAGAGTCTCGTTATCCTGGCTCTGCCACTATTAGATGTCTGACCTCCAGAAGACATCTAATGGATTAGAATACATTAGATGCAAGCTACTTTACTTCTCTTCCTCTGTTTCTTTATCTGTGAGGTGAAGGGACTGCAACTTGGCTATTTGTGACCCTCTGTCATTTAGCAGCTGCTGTTCATTCTAAATGTCAAGGTCATCATATCCCCTGCCCCACTACAATTTTAAGTTTGAGGCTGTTTAAGTTGGGGTAGGAAAAGTTCCATTCAGGTGAACAAGACTGTGTTAGGAGTGGCCAAAAAGAAGAGAAAAAAAAACTTGCAAGAAAGGAATCAGTGTGTATGTATATAGTTCTCACTTTCTTAATGGAAAATTCATGAGGGGCAATGGTGAAATGAGAAGAACACCGAATTTGGGATTAGCTGTCCAGGGTAGAATCCTGAATCACTTATTACTGGAGTGACCTCGACCCTATCCTAAACCTTCCTGTGCATGACTTCACTCATCTGTAGAATAATGAGGAGTGGAATGATACTAGATAACTTCTAATGTTCCTTTTAGTTCCAAAGCTATTATTAGAATGTTTAGAGAAAATGGCTCATCAAAATTTACGGTTTTGTTGCACTGAAGGGAGATTTGTAGGCAAAATACTTGATTATCTTCTTTCAGATAAGTCAAATAGTTTTAAGGACTAGGATTTCCTACAGGTGAACTGCCCTCCTTTAGCATGCACATGACTTTTCTGTGTAGAATTGTTTCAGTCTATAAGAAGAAGCATCTCATCTACTTTGTTGCTGTATCCTAAGGACCATGAGGCCTTTCCATCTGACTTGTACCTGAAACTTCCTATATATGGTATTTCCCCTCATTAGAAAGTGAGCTTTTCGACAGGACAGGCTGTCTTGCTTTCTAGTTGTATTTTCAGGACTTAGCACAGTTCTTTGCACATGGTAATTAATAAATGGCTATTCATTCATTTGCTCATTAAAAAAAAGATGAAGGGATTAGAAAAAAAGATCTCTGAGAGAAGTCCCTTCTACATTTTAAAGTCTAAGGTTCTTTCCTTGGATCATTTATTTAGTGGTGAGCTGACAATGAAGTTGGAAAGTCTCAGTTGTGGCCTAAATTTTTTTTCCTCAGGTGTGAAACTTCAGCCTCTACCTTCAACCTCAAAAAGCCATTAAAGACCTCAGAGGTCTTTCCAAGGGTAGGAGTCCATAAGAAGACAAGGAAGTCCTAGGAGTATCAGTATGGCTGCTTCATTACCACAGTGTTAAAGATACTTCAGTCGTGAGAGGGAGAAAATGGCAACTCAATGAATTTTTTGCTGGGTTTGCTCCAAAAAGGTAAAGGAGTGTCACACTTCCACCTTGTTTTTTGAAGTAGGAGAGTCAAAGATACTAGGTCAAATGGTAAGAAGAGTCTGGGATATCCTACAGACAACTTAGAAGACAAACTAGGAAAGATCCAGAATATTACATACTAATAATCTCACTATTTATCAATAATTCTACTTCTCCCACTGATCTCACAGGTGACACAAAGAAAAATTGAAAGATGCCTGGTATGTATAAGTAGGCTGAAACTTGCCCTTATTAGGGACAGGTCCTCACTATGCCCTAGGAGACTGGAGCTCAGATGGCTTGGGAGATCTTGAAGATATAAGCCCAAAAGTCAGTGGCTGGGTACAATATTTAATTTTGATTACATGTCCAGCAGTTATCACTGTACTAGTGGGGAACAAAAAATGACTTTCCAGTGGGGTAAAGAGACAAGCAGAGTTGTGTGATAACACCACCAGAAGATATGGTGGTGCTATAACTCTCAGAGACATTAGCTACTCTTCCACACATGTGCTCTAGATATACATGTTCCCCCCATGTGTGCCTCTTCATGTGATCTCTATATGTTATCATTCTTCTCACTGATGCTATATATGTCTTTAGGAAAGGTATGCTAGGTTTGTGTAAAGAATGTTCAACCATGACCTCTCTTATTAGGTTTTTTTCATTAAATATTCTTTGAAATGGTATTTTCTGACTGATCAGAGGGAAAATAAACACAATATTAGGGACTTGTGAGCCACTCACAGAATACCTTGAACTTGGAGTAGCTATTCTGGGAGCCTCATGTATGACAAGGGGGTTACTGATGTTCTACACTTATGCAATGTTAACTTCAAATTGCTATTGATGAACCAGTTACAGAACCTAATCCATAGTGCCCCGGAAAGAAGTTGTAAAGATGTAGACTTAAGCTTAGTGTAAGGAAAAACTTTTCTTAACAGTTAGGACTATACTCAAGTGGAATGAGCTGCCTCAAAAGGTATCAGTGTCCCAAAACTTGAAACCGGCAGGTGAACACCTGGGCATACCTTTTGATTGAATTCATTTATTCAAAAATATTTCTGAAGTACCTACTATATTCTGGTTACTGGACTACTGTGTAATCTCTGGGGTTGTAAAGAAGAAAAAAGAAAAAAGAAACGGTCTCTGCCCTCAAACAGGTTATTTTCTGTTAGGGGAAATCAACATGTGCATTAAATACAAAATGTATTCAGAGTAATTACTGGGAGAAGGAAAGCAATAAGAATGGGCTTCTTGTAGTGGGAATAGCCACTGGAGCTGAGCTTTGAAGGACACTAGAGATTATCAAAAGTGGCAGTAAAGAGGGAGTGAATGCTAGACATAGCGGATAGCTTATGCTAAGTTGGAGAGACCTCGTATACAAGTAACAGCAAGCAGGCCAGTTTGTCTGGCATTTAGAATGTAGAATAGGCTTGGTCAGGGAGAATTATGGAGGGCTTTCAAAGTGAAACAGAGGACTTGGCCTTTTATCTTAGAGGTAAGTGCAGAGATTCGTATTTGTGTGTGTGTGTGTGTATCACGAATGCCTTTGGCACTTGATGGACCTCTTCTCAGAATATTATTATTTTAAATGCATAAAATAAATACACAGGATTTCAAAAAACCAATTATATTGAAAAAACAGTTATCAAAATATTAGGGGGAAATTTTAATACTCCCTTGGCTACAGGGAGCCACTGTAGCTTCTTGAGCAGGGTAGTGACATGGAATTTTTTTTTGTGTTTTTTTTTTTTTTGGCTAGGCAATGGGGTTAAGTGACTTGACGAGGGTCACACAGCCAGTAAGTGTTATGTGTCTGAGGCCTGATTTGAACTCAGGTCCTCCTCACTCCAGAGCCAGTGCTCTATCCACTGTGCCACCTAGCTACCCTGTGACATGGAATATTAATGGCCGCTGTGTGGAGGAGGGGAGGGAGAGAGGAGATTGAAGTCTATGAAAACAATTAGGAGGCTATTATAATTGTCTAGGTAAGGGAAGATGAGGATCTGAACCAGAGGATGGAATGTAGATGGAATTGCTATACCGATGTGATGGTTGGATTAGATTACATCCAAAACTGAGATTAAATAATCATGAACCCTCAGAGAAAGTTACAGGATGGTCAGTTCTTTTAGGAGAGAGATGTATTAATTTAGCTTTGCTTATCCCCTAGCATGAAGCACTGTTTCTTGCATATAATACACGCTCAATAAAGGTTCAATGAATGGTATGGGGCAGGTAGGTGGCCTAGTGGATAGAGCACAGGACCCAGAGTTAGGAAGACCTGAGTTCGAATCCAGCCTCAGAAACTAGCTATGTGACCCTGGGCTAATCACTTAACCCCGTTTCCTTCTGTTTCATCATCTGTAAGATGAACTGGAGAGGGAAATGGCAAACTACTCCAGTACCTTTGCCAAGAAAACCCCAAATGGGGTCATGAAGAGCTGGACAACAACAAACAAAGAAACAATGTGGATGGACTGTGTCCAAAAAAGGGCAACTAAAATAATTTTTGAAAGAGCAGCTTCCCTAAGAATGAAGTTAAAGGAAAGGAGCAAAAGTTACAAAACTGGAGCCTGAACCTTTACAGACCATAATGCAATAAAAACAGTATTCGGGTCAGGGAGCAAAAATAAAAGATATAGACTCACATGGAGACTTAACAATGAAATCCTAAATAATGAATGGGTCAAAGAACAAATCATGGAAACAATTAATGTGAAAGAAAATGATAATGATGAAACAAATATAAAATTTCTGTGACACAACAAAGCTAGTCCTCAGAGAAATATTATGTCCCTACAAACATATATGAACAAAACAGAATAGAAGATTAATGAACTGAATATGCATTTAAAAGTTAGAAAGTCAATGAATAAACAAACCTAAAATAAGAATAAACAAAGAGATTAAAATTAGAGAAAAACAAACAAAAATCCAACTCCAGAAATAAATAAAACTAAAGGCTGTTTCTCTGAAAAGACTAACAAAATTGTTAAACCTTTAGCCAACCTTATTAAAAAGAAAGACAAAATCAATTAACAAAATAGAAAATGAGCAAGGGGAAATCACTGCAAAACCAGAAGAAATAAAAAATGTAATCAGAATCTATTATAAAGCTACATGCTAACAAATTGGAGAACACAAAAGAAATAGAATAACTTAAAAAATATAAATCCTTAACCTTACAGAAGACCAAATAAACATATTAAGTAATCCAATCTCAGAAAGAATTGGACCTATAAGACATCTATCAAGGGAAAAAAATTCTTGGTTTTGATGTATTTACAGAAGAACTGTATCAGACTTTTAAAGAAAAACTACTACTCATATTTCACAAATTATTCTCAAAAATTTAAAAAGAAAGCACTCTTAAAGATCCTTTATTTGAAACATTGTCTTAATATTTAAACTAGTGAAGGATAAAGCATAGGAGAACTACAGACTTAATGAATAATGCTTAATGGATATGCTCAATGATTATTGATTAAAAATTATAGATAAAATCCTGTCAATTAGAATTCAGCAATTCATCAAAGAAGTCATTCATTATGACAGAGATGGATTTCTACTAAGGATAGAAAGATGGTTCAACATTAGGAAAACAATCAATACAATCATATTAAAAAACAAAAGAATAGCATACTATGCGATTATCTCAAAGATGCAAAAAAAGCCTTTGACAAAATGCAACATGCACTTATGCCAAAAATCCTACAAAGTACAGGCACAGAAAAACCTTTTATGATATCATAAAAAGCAGATATCTAAAACCAAAAGGAAACATTATAGGCAATGGGGATACACTATACCCTTTCCCAATAAATGTGGCAGTAATGAAAGGCTGCTTATTGTCCTCACTGTTATTTGATATGATGCTGGAGATGCTAGCAATAACAATAAGACAATAGAAAGAATTAAAGGTATAAAATAGGTAAAGGTATAATTACTTACTTGGAAAATGCTTGGAAACTAGCAAAGATAGTAATTTATACAATTAATAGCTTCAGTAAAGTTGCAGGTATGAAATAAATCCTCAGAAACTTCATCATTTCAACATAATAACAAAATCCTACGTGCAATGATAGAACAGGAAATCTCATTCCAAATAACTATACAGTGCACAAGTATCTTAAGACCAATCTACTAAAGCACCAAAAAGTATAGAATTAATTACAAAGTGCTCCATAAAGAAATATAGAACAATTTAAATAGCTGAAAGAATATTTAGGGCTCATGGCTAGACTGTGCCAATATAATAAAAATGATAGTACTACCAAACCTAATTTACACTTCTAATGCTATACTACTCAAATTATCGAAGAAACAACTTACAGATCTTGATAAAATAATAAAAAATGATTTGGAAAAATAAAATATCTAGAATATCAAGGAGAATAATGAGAAATACAGAAGAAGGGAATATCACTTCCAAACCTCAAACTATACTATATAGCAGCAGTAATCAAAACTATCTACTATTGGACTTAAAGGAAATTAGAGCAGTTAGTGTGCAGAACAGAGAGAAAGTTTGTTGTGCTGTTGCTACTACATTGTACTCCTGGCTGGCCCCAACCCCATTTTCTCTATAACTCTCTGTCTGCCTTTCTAAGTAGGCTTCGGCTGAAAAAGTGACTCATTGTAACTTTTTTTGGGCTTTCCCCATCAGAATTTGGGTTGATGCGTTTTCCAAGTTGTTGTGGAGGGGATGCATTGGAAGAACTAGGAAAAAAACCACACTACTTCTCCACCATATTGACTCCACCCACTTGCAATACATTCTTAACGGACATATGACCTTAATATTAAAGGTCATGCTATAAAAAATTAGAGGAGAAGCAGATCTAAACCTCTTTGGCAA